GTGCCAAAGCTGAGAAACCCTGGGGTGGAGAATGATTTGGGGTGATCTTTAGGTCAGGTAGTCATGGATGGCCACATTGAGGATGACTTTTGACCTGAAAAAGTCAGAGAATAAGAATGAGATCTGGGAAAGTCTATCACATGCAGAGAGAACAGCAAGTATAAAGGCCTTGAGTCAGGAATCTATCATCAAGAAGACCAGTGCACGAGGGGCGCCTGGGTGACTCAGTGTTGAGCGTCTGCCTTCGGCTCAGGTCATGATCCCAGGGTCCTGGGATTGAGCCCTGTATCAGGGTCCCTGCTCAGCGAGGAGCCTGCTTCTCCCTCTCCCCGGCCTCTGTTCATGCTCTTTCTCGCTATCTCTACTTCTCTCAAATAAATAAATAAAATCTTAAAAAAAAAAAAAAACCAGACCAGTGCACAAGACCAGGCTGATTACTCTCCACCATATCTCCGATGAAAAAACTGAGTCTCAGAGGAAATAGTTTGCCAGCTGCCATACAATTACACAACACAGGAGCTGGGATTTGAACTTGGATATGCTTCATTCCAGAGTCCCTTTGCTCTCCACATCCTCAACTGCTACCCTCAGAGGAGCAGCAATCAGCCTTCATTGTGCAGTTCAGACCGCTCCCCTACCTGACCCTGTCGATTATTTTTTTTTTAGTCCATCCCTGAGCACTTGGTTCCATCCCTAGCTTCCACCTCAATAACAAAAACCACAAAGATAATGATAGCCATTATTTTTGCAGTGCTGCCCGTGCACCAGGCGTTAGTCCACGTGAGAGATGCCTATATAGATACAGACACAGAGATAGAGAGATACCTGTCTGTATATGCACTCATTCAGTCTGCACAATATGCAGGTGTTAGGTGCCCTTATTCTGTTGTGCCCGTTTTACAGATAGGAAAATAGAGGTATAGAGAAAGACTAAATGACTTTTTCAACTAGAAGGCAGAAGTAGGATTTGAGCTCACACTACCTAGTTCCAGAGTCTCTGCTCTTAACCAAAACACTGTTGCTCCCTCAACAGGTCATGAGCGTCTGGTTGTAGATCATTCACTCGACCAGTAGCTCCTCGAGTTTAGGTACATGTAAGTTCAGCATAGAAGGGAATTTAGAGGTCAATTCATTCACACATGGGAAGACTGAGGCCCAGCCTCACAAAGTGACTTGTGCACGTTGTACCAGGAGGCAGTGGTAGAACTGGAACCAGAAGCCAGTTGTCTAATCCAAATGCCCTCTAATCTGCTGTGGACCATCCCACCCCCAGCCTTGCCTGCACATTGCTGGCAGCTGCCGTCTGTTCAGGCTGCCCCATAGTGTCTCTGTCCTTCTGGATCCCAGGCAGCAGTGTCTGATATCTGTCAGGTTCGGGGCCACAGAGGAGGCACCTGCTTGTGGCAGAAGGCCCAGGCATCTGTCTCAGCCCCTGCCCATCCTTCCTCTTTATAGACATAATCTCAGTTAATCCCAAATCCTCCAGGTGCAGAAGTTGGGCCTCAGTGGGTTAAATGGCTCACCTCCTGAGGTCAACCAGGGTAGTTAGTGCTTCCCAAGTGGAATGAACATTTACATTTATTCATCCTTTCATTCACTCATTAATTTCTTTCAGTCAACAAAAGCAAGCCTACTGTATGTGAGGCACTGGTCATACAGGGGTGAAATTTAGGGTTCCTGCTTTCCAGAAGAGACATAATTGGTATTCTGAGAGGAGGATGCCCCAGAAAGGATATCTGATCCAGCCGGTTCAGGCAGGGGATCAAAAAAGGCCCCTTGGAGGAGGTGATGGATACCATGGCTAAGTCTTAAAGGATAACTGGGAATTAACTGGGCAGAGAAGGGGAAAATGACACCCAAGAGGATAAAGCACATGCAAAAGCAAGAAGAGCCCTCTCTGTGTGCAGAGAAATGCAGGTGGTTCAAGGTTGGTAGACCTGTGGGTGGATGCCAAGATCACATAGTCATGGTAGTGGCCACCTGGAGAGCACTTACTGTGTGTTGGGCAGAGTGCTGAGCATTAGCTTGACGACCTTCCAAGTTAGAGGCCTTCAATATCCACATTTGTAGATAAGGAAACCAAGGTACGTGGGGGTTGAAGATCTCACAGGTCGTGAGTGTCAAGGAACGGGCTGAGAAGTACATGGAGTTTGCCTCCAGCAGTTTGCAGGTCCTTCTGTAAAACCAAGGCTTGTGGGGGAGGGGTCTCCCTTCCTCTCTCTGAATTGGTGCTCTCCCTCCTGTTCACTCTGTTCTCTCTTACAGATGGAAGGACAATCTAGAGCCCATGTCATCGCACAGGAACTGCTGTCTTCGGAGAAAGCGTGAGTCCCCAGTCAGCTGCCGGTGGCCTTGAGATTGTTAACAGAACTTCACCCCTCCCTGGCTTAAACAGGATGAGAATTAATGCAAACTCAACCCTCTTTCCCTCTGCAGATATGTGGAGATGCTCCAGCACTTACATCTGGTGAGTTAATCATTTCTGTTGTCCAAAACTTGTTGCCCTTTTACAAGGCTATGATATAAGAGGCAGAAAAGCAGCAAGGAGACAGGTGATTTCAATGAACAGAGGCTTGGCAGCAGACAGATACCCACCAAGGCTTTTTTTGGACATCTGTCTCTTGTTCATGTGCTTCAGGGGGTGAATAGCACTGTGCTTTCCATGGGTATGTCTCTCTGCCTGGACTGGGGGGTCTATTAGGGGCTGTGCTAAGGTTTCTGGAAGGATGTTTGCAGTTTCCTCAGCCCTCTTGTTGAGGAAGGAGGACAGATGTAGTTCAGGGTCATTGCTGTGTGTGTGAGTTTAGGTGAGTGTGTGATTATACATGTGTGGGTGCATGCATGTGTGGGGGGCATATATATATGTGTATATATGTTTAGATCCGTCTGGAGAAGAAGGTATGTTAGCACAATGACAGAATAGCTGGGGTATAGAGAGGCTTTCTCAGTCATCTCAGCACTGGGGCAATTAACACCTGAGTCATTGGAGAGGAAATCCTGTGGACTTTCTGAGGAAAGGAGGCCAGACGTGGAGACTGCCTGGGTATCAGGCACTGCCACCCCTTCCAACCTGCAAAATTGCCTGGAAGGTCTCCCTTTGCAGTCAGTTCAGTTCACTTCAACAAACATGTTTTGATGAATTCTGAGCTCTTGTGTGACAAGAGTTGGGAAATAGAAAGATCAGACAGGTCCTTTCCCAGGAGCTCTCTGGCCAGCAAAGAAGACAGATTAGAAAATGAGAAATTATCTGGAGCACAGGGGGAAGGACTGACAACCTGGGGAAATCATTCCCTGAGATGGTGACTTTTGGGATGAGTCATAAGGAGAAATGAGAGAAGAGGGTACAACAGAGATGTGGGAAGTGAGGGAGCATCAAGGGCATCTGCTCCCTGAGGTCTCTAAGCCATTTCCAGTCCCCTAGTAGTTTAGTATCTGATGCCACACTGTTCTGCATTGTTCACCACGTCTATCCAAGAACATCAGAGCTGGGAATGTCTATCCTAGACATATTGTCTGTGGTGACATAGAGGCCCAGAGAGAGTGACTGAGCCAGGGTGAACACCCTATACTCCCAGTGCACTGTCATGTGTTAATCCTGCATCTCTCAACTGCCTTCGGAGCTCTCTGTGGCAAGGACTTCTCTGGATGCAGCAGAGCCCCAGCACCAATCCAGGCCTCCTGCAGAATCCAGCTGAGGTCCCTGTCAGTGACATCACCTTAGTGTCGCATTGCAATGTGAGCAGGGGCCCCCAGGTCCCCAGAAGCAGGACAGAGCACTACTCTGATCTGTGTGCCCAGTGCCTCCTTTTTGCCTTTAGGATGAAAGGTTTGTGTTCATTATTAAACCCCAAAGCCCTCAGGTATGAAGTGTACCACCCTCTTAACACCTAGAAGATCTCTTTAGGAAGGGCAGGAAGAGTCACTCTCCTGTTTTTATTTTTGTTTTTTTCCTCTCTCACTTGCCTCTGAGCTGGCAGCATGACTGAGAGGCTGGGCTTTTTGTTTTATGACTTTGTTAAGAGGGTTTTAACTGGGAAACTTCCATCTGTGTTTGCACTGCTTCCTGCCAATTGGAAAGATGCTGAAACCACTGGTAATCCATAATAATATCCTGAGGAGGAAAAGAAAAAGAACCCATAAAAGTCACAACTCTTAAGCTAGTTTTGGGAAATTGTGGTCCAGAGCTCCATTTATGACGTCAGTGTGTATGGGGACAGAAGTGGAAGAAAAGCCCCAGTGTGACTCCAAGTCCTAGCCAGGGACATGAGTCCAAAAGAGACCCGTAAACTTCGAGACATTCTCCACCACTCCCAGGCTGGATCCATCTCTGAGTGCTCAGATTGGCAGGTTATCTCTCAGAATTCCTCCTTATAGATTTGATGGTATTAAAATCCCAAGGCTGCCCGGAGATGAGAAGGGCTGGTCATGCATTCTGAACCTTCCTAGCTAGAAGGTCCCTGGCTGCATTATGCTGTTTTGAGTGGGGATGCGGTGGCCTGTGGCCTTCTGTGTTTGTGATTCAACCTTGTACTTGTGAACTGGTAGACAGAACTAACTCAGGGATTACTAAAAGTTCTGGTCATCAGGAATTGAATCCTAATAAGCAAGATCCCATTTTTGCATAGCCTATTAACTAAAATTGGATTTTATATGTTTATTTATTTTATTTATTTAAGATTTTATTTATTTATCTAGGGGGGCTGAGTGGGAGAGTGGCAAGAGGAGAGGGAAAAGCAGACTCCCTGCTGAGCAGGGAGCCTAACTCAAGGGGCTCCATCCCAGAACCCTGAGATCATGACCTAAGCTGAGGTTAGCCACTTAAACAGATGAGCCACCCAGGCACCCCTATGTGTTTTAAATGTTTGTGAAAAAAGGCAAAAAAGATGCATCAACTGTACTTCAAAAAAAAAAAAAAAGATGTAAGAGTTTTCCATATATTTTAGATACTAGACCCTTGTCAAATATATAATTTGAAAAAAAAGAAAAAGAGGTGAGCTTTCCATGGCGATAGCACTCTCACGAACATGGTGAACGTTCCTAAACGGACTTTCTGCAAGAAGCGTGGCAAGCACCAACCCCACAAAATGACACGGTACAAGAAAGGCAAAGATTCTCTTTATGCCCAGGCAAAGCAGCATTATGACAGGAAGCGAAGTGGCTATGGTGAGCAGACTAAGCCGATTTTCCAGAAAAAGGCTAAAACTACAAAGAAGATTGTGCTGAGGCTTGAATGTGTTGATTGCATTTGCAGATCTAAGAGAATGCTGGCTATTAAGAGATGCAAGCATTTTGAACTGGGAGGAGATAAGAAGAGAAAGGGCCAGTGAGTCAGTTCTAAGCTTCATATTTTGTTATATCATGAGGACAATAAAATCTTGAGGTTATGTTCACTTCATTTGGTTGCTGTTGGTCTTTTAAGAGGGAAATAAACTAGTGCCATCAATAAAATTCTCCTCGTGGGGCAATTTATGCTTGGAAAAAGAAAAAAGAAAGAGGTGAAGAATATATGACTGAGACTGTATGTGGTCCACAAAGCCTTAAATATTTATGGTGTGGCCCTTTACAGAAAGGCTTTGCTGACTTCTGGTTTAAAGACTTCTTTCTGTCCTTCCAGAAACCCAGTCATAAATGCATTCATCCCCCTGCCCATCTATCTGTATAATCAAATTCTCGCCCAATCATGTAGCCAGCTTTTCAACCACGCATCTGTCCTTTAATCTATCTATGCCCCCTTATGCCATATCTGTGTTCCCGCTCATACCCTCCTTCAGTTCATCCACTATTCAGAGGTCTACCCATCCTTCCAGCCATCTACCCATCCTCCCATCCACCCATCTGCTCACCCACCCACTCACCTATCCATCCAACCATCCATCCACCTGGCTTATTCCTCTTGAATCGGACATCACAGGATTTTTACAGTGCCTGTGGCACTGAGATGGGCTTTCGAGCTCCAAAGATAAATAAGTCCTAGAATCTACCCTTGAATAAGTGTCTCTTATTTGTGGGGGAAAGAGTGGAGTGGGGAGGAGAAATAGGTGGACAGTTATGCTACTCCACAGTAAGTATAATTTGCACAATTATAGTTTTGTGCAAAATATGCAGGAGCATGGGGGAAGGGAGAGACTTATTCCCCTTTGGGGTATCTAAGAAAACTGGCAAAAGAAGTGCCCCTAAGATAGACTTTGAAGGACCCTGATGGAGGAGGCAGATGGTCAGCATGGAAATTCTCACAGACCTGAAAGTACATGATATGTCTGGAGAATGGTGCATCGTCACACATGGTTAGAACATGGATAAGTTTGGAAAGGCAGGTTGGAAGTGGAATTAGGAGTTGAATGATTGGTCCAAAAACCAAGTACCTGAAATGCCAGGCCATGGGGTTTATGCTATTTCTTATAGGTAGTGAGTCATTATAGACCTTGAACAGTAACATCCTGTGGATATCGTCAGTGCTGTGTTTTCTCATATTAAAAAAAAAAAAAAAAAAAATCCCTCCCTAGCAAGAGCTGAAAATTCCTACCATGGGTTCCTCCTTTGGCCTAAGGCATTGAAGCCCTTTTCAGAAGCCAGTCTGCCAATAGGGAGAGGTAATCCTGGAAGTTATCACCATCTGATTCCCCAAGAGAGGCCCCCTCCCCTAAGAGGCCCATCAGACATGATCTGATCCCTCCCACCTACCTCTCTTGTGCTGCCTCCTACCACTTTCGTTGTTCGCTTCAGCAACTCTGGGCCTTCCCACTCTTCTTCACATACTACAGATGCATTTCCATTGCGTGACTTTTCACGTGCTTTTCTGCCGCTGGAATGTCCTATCCCTGATCTTCTCATAACCAGTTCCTCCTTCTCATTCTGCTGTGGGCTCAACGAAGTGGTGCCCAAAACTTTGTGGCAGAACAACCATGTTATTATGCTTGCAAATTCTCTGGGCCAGAAGTTTGGGCCAGGCCAGGTTGGGAGAGTATGTCTCTGCTCCCCAGTGTCTGGGGAGGACTTCAAGACCAAGGGAAACTTGATGGCCAGAGGTTAGAATCACCCCAAGTGTCATCTTTCATGGCTGATGGTTAGTGCTGGCTATTTTCTGGGACCTCATTTGGGCTGTTGACCAGAACACTTACTTGTGGCCTCTCCATGTGGTCTCTCTGCTTGGGCAAGTTTGGGCTTCCTCACAGCATGGTGGCTGCATTCCGAGACTTGGTGTCCCAAGAGAGAGCCAGGAGGAAGTTCGTGGCATTTTTACATTCCAGGCTTCAGTCATGTAGCACCACTTATATCATACTCTATTAGTGGAGACAGTCACATACGTCTACCCAAGTTCAAGGGAAGGGGATAGTTTCCAGTATCAATGGGAGAAATACCAATGTAATACCATTACATTGCATAATGACCATGTGAGATAGGAGATATTGTTATGAGCCATTTGGGGAAAATATAGTCTGGGTCAACTGGAAATCAATTGGTCAAAGCTCGGTTCAACTCAGTGGCTGTGCTTCTTATATGTTGATTCTGGGACCCAGGCTAAAGGGACAGTAGGCAACCAGGGAAGGCCCTTCCCATGGTGATGGCAGGGAATAAGCAGAAACACCAGAGGTCTTCTGAGATTCAGTCTCATGACTGGCCTATCATCACTTCTGCCCACATCCCATTGGCCAAAGGAAATGCCATGCCCTTGCCCAAAGATGGGCAACTGAGTTGTCTCTCTCTCGCTTCCATTCTGTCCACTTTGCTTCATTTATTTAGGGGCCGTTCTCAGGGGCTTATTTACTGTCTTATCTCCCTCACTAAACTCAGAGTTCATTGAGGGCAAAGAGCTTGACTGGTCCCATTGCCAGTGTCTTGTGAGGCCTGGTACACCATCAGGGCTCAGTAAATATCTGATGAATGAGTGATGGTGGGGTTAATCCTTCCATCAGTCTTACCACTTTTTCAGTCAGAAATTTTTCCCAATCACCTCTAATGTGCTGGGTACTGGGTACTTGCCCTTCAGGAACTGACAGTCTAGGAAGGAGACAAGCACAAAAGGGACAATATTAGCACAATGATAGGGATGTACTGAGCCTGAGAAGTTCAGAGGAGGCCCCCATCCGAGTCTTCTGGAGGCTGGAGAAGGATTCCCAGAGGAAGCGTGTCTAAGCTGAGACCTGAAGGATGGGGAGCAGTCGGCCAGGTGAGGAAGCTTGTACCTGGCAAGAGGATTTGCATGTGCAAAGGTCTGGAATCCAGTTAGAAACTGGCATCTTTGGGAGCTGAAAGAAGTGTTGCATGGCTGTGGTGTGTGCATGAGTGACAGAGTGGTGAGACGTGAGGGGCAGAGTGGGCAGGGCCCCATAAGTCGTGTTGGGGGTTGGGTTTGATCCACTGAATGTCTGTGGGGAGGCCATTGGGTGATTCCAGTAGAAGGTGACACTGGACTGGAGTACTGTGGGCAGATTGGAGGGTGATGTGCTTGGTGATTGCTGGCTGTAGGGGGCGGGAGAGGGGTCCAGGCTGACCTCAGATATCTGACTTGCTGACTCACCAGAGCAGCAAATGTTGGAAGGGGTCAATCTAGACACAGGGTGATGAGGAGTTTAGTGTGGGTTCTGTGAAGTGTGAGGGGTGGGGAAGGACATCCCAGTGATCTGCTGGGCACAGGATGTTCACCAGAAGTGATTAAGTGTGGAGATATCAACTGAAGGCCCGGAAGTGTCCTGGAGTTCCCTGAGGGAATGTGTGGGATGGGGAGGAGGCTTTCAAGCACCGGGGGCCTGGCAGGTTTTCGGTTTTGGGGGGGTGGTTTGTTTGTTTTTTGGTTTTTGTTTTTTAATTTATTTGAGAGAGAAAGAGAATGTGCAAGAATGGGAGGAGGGGCAGAGGGAGAGGAAAAAGCAGACTCCCCACTGAGCAGGGAGCCCAAGGACAAGAGCGAGGATGATGATGACAACAAGGCAGGGCTCAATTCCAGGCCCTGCGGCTCCATCCCAGGATGCTGAGATCATGACCTGTGCTGAAGTCAGACGCTTAACAAACCAGCCACCCAGGTGACCCGCCTGGCAGGTTTTTGTGAAAGGGTCAGATGGACTAAGGGAGGAGTATTAGGAGAACACAGTGCAGAAAGGCAGATGAGAAGCTTCTCAGATCCTCCCTGAATCTGTCCTTTGATAGCACCTCCCTGATGGTGGTGGTAGCCGCCTGAAAGGGCATCAGGAGTGCCCAGGACAGAGCCAGATTTCTCAGACTGCTTGGAGGAACAGGACAGCCCTCCCTTAGCACTACATGCATGTTTAATTCAACCATGGCCTTGGTGCTGACAGAACTGGGGCAAGAGCAGGATCTAGAGGGACTCAGTGTCAAATTTATGAGTTTATCTGAATTGGTGCTATCAGTTTGCCTCCTATTGCTGTCCCCTCTTTCCTCTCCAAGACAGCTCTGGCTTCTCAGCACAGCCAGTGTCCAGTATACCTGGACACTGGTGCCATAAAGGAGAGCGAGCGGCATGGGCATGTTGACCTTCTGTTGTGTGCTTGACAGTTCACATACGTTATGTCATTTAACTACGCACACTCTGTACTCAGTAAAGAGTTCTCAGATGGTTGAATGAGTCCAAAACTGAGTCTCAGAGAAAATGAGTGACTTGCCCAAGGTCACACAGCCAGTAAGAAGTAGGGCCAGGGCCATATGACTCCAGAGCCCTGAGAAGGGGAGGAAACAAACAGAAGTAGAACAGTCTGTTTAGGTGTAGGGAGCATTAGGAGGGGGCAATCAGTGTGAGCAGGAGGAACGAAGTCAGGGAAGGCTTCCTGGAAGAGAGGATGTTGAGATGGCATTGATGGACAGAAAGTAGAAACAGGCCTTCCGGGGGATAGAAGCAGCAGGAACAAGTGGACAGAGTGGACAGAGTGGAGGGTTTGGGGGTGTGGGGTTTACAGGAAGTGTGACTGGAAAGCTGGTCTTCAAGGAAAGCCTGAATATCATGCCCCAGGGCCTTTCAGAAGGGAGGTAGAAGAATTTGGGAGCCCTGAGGACTTGAGCAGGGCAGATGCAGTGAAGGAGTTTGGGGGAAGGTTGGTCTGGTGGGTTGGATGGGAGGGGGTGATGCTGGGGAACCAAGAGGTTAACCCAGGCCAAACTCCTAGATGGCCTCAAGCTGGGGAAGTTGTGTGGATCTAGGAAGATTGTGTGTCTGTCTCTTACTTTTATCTTTGCGCCCATGTCCGCAGACAACATTAAGAAGTAAGTCTTAATTGAGTGGGGAAGGCCCTGTTTCTGAGTTCTTGCAGGCTCTCCCAGGGCACAATCAATGAACTCATTGATCTTTGTGGACCCAGAGAGAGACGGATTTCCGTTCAGTGTGAGAAGATGTGCTTTCTTTCCATTTGAATTGCCAGGGAGGGGGGTGAGCTCTCCGTAC